AGCATTCTGCCTGAATATAAGGCATAATATGGGCGTATTTAGATAAGTTTAGATCGCTTAACACATCAAGTAGTTAGGTAGGTACTTCTAGCGTTTACACTACATACCTACGATTTTGCCTACTTGATCCACTAGATTATTGAGGGTCAGTAGATCGTATCTATCGTGCTTTTATGGCCACCACTATTGGAATTTCCAAATCTATTTAAAAATACCATCATATTCGTAAAATGCCTTCAACATCCTCTTACAGAATCCAATTCAATCGAAGATTGACTGCAAACTTAAAGGTCATAAGCGAACTAAAAATGGCTTTCGAATGCGAACGCTCGGGAGGAATATTCCGTAATATATTTGACTCGAGTGCCGCTTTGAAGCAACGCAAATAAAAAGACGGTTTTCAACCAAATCGTAAATCAAGGCACTCGCAAAGAGCTCTGGAGTTTGTGCGGGCTTTTCTCCACTGTCATATTTATTTACGATTTAATCCTTTTTTTCTGCAAAAACAATTTGAAAGATTGACAGTTAAAATCAAAATTATTAACCTTTCAAACAAAGCAATCTGAAATGAAAAATGAAAATGCTAATGAATCTAAATAAAAGTAATTTTTAATTGTGGGTAGTTGCGTACTCTTGTGATTATTCATCTACCGTCATTACCGCACTAATGTGGCACTAACTAGTCTCGCGCCGACCGTCGCGGAGTGCACACTGGTGCATGCGTAGTGTTATGTTTCATTACAAATTATGTAATAGATTTCTACATTTTAATGAGTATTTTATCGAAAGTGATAATATTTAAGTATCAAAATGTGCTGTGTGGTGATATGGTGGCAGATTGAGGCTGAGCTGACGAGGCATGCAGTAAACAGGTCAGTGATTCTTATGTTATTACTTAAAATGCAGCAAATTTATTGTTTTGTTTCTTTACTGTAGCAGGATTTGTGCGGTTTAGTTATTGTTTTTTTTATATTACACGGCTACATATTTCAATGCTATTCGCCCGTTCTATTTTTTGCCAACAAGTATTTCTGGGCTGTATTTTTTTCTATTATTATTTCACTATTAGGTAAGAGTTTCATCTTAAAATCGTGTCGTGTTCTCCAATGAACCCACGCCCGCCTAGTGGGAACACTTATCAAAAATGTATGCGCGCCGAGACACGGCCCACGGCTTTGTGCACCAATTACCGAAAACGTATTCGCGTGTATTGAACGATCGCGAAGTATGGCACGCGATCGTAAAGATGGATTCACATTTGTATGGAGTGATGTGTTGCGTGAAGATTTTATGAGTAGTTCTGTTATTTTCACAGGCAAAGAAAATTAGCGTAATAATGCCCGGTTATTTTAAAATAACCTGTATCTAAAAAATTTCGCAGCAAATCTCAGATCGATGCAATCATGCATGAAAGGTCTTGTAAGTACGGTTCGGAAAAACGTAAGAATATCAATAAAATACCTGTACCTACAGCTATTAGTAATCAGGTTCATCTAAGTATTATGATTATATCTTTGATGTTTATTTCGCACTATAAAATATTAAGATCTAAAGTCACGACACACCACAACAGATGTATCTCTATCTTCGTAATGGAGTTTGGTAAGAATTCCGATAAGTATTCTTTCTACTTACCCTTAAAAGACTCTACTGTTTGAATTCAAAGCTTTGGCAGAGCAACTCTGAAACTATTGAAAGAAACATGAAAGATTCTAGGAATGGAAGAATGAATAAGTTATATTGTGTCGTTTGACACTCTGTTCTGTGTGTTACATTGCGTGATCGATTTGGACCTGCTCTGTAAGCTTACATGTGTTTTGCATCAATAAATAAATAAATTAGAATACTTAGCTCAGAGGATTTTTTGATATCAACAAAAATACATATATTTGTTTCGAATAAAAGAGGTGGGTAATGAAGTAAAGTCCTTCACTAATTAAATAGTTTTTTTGCTTGTTATTTCACTTGTTTCAGCCAAATAACGTCTACTGCTGGACAAAGGCTTCCTCCAGTTATTTCCATAATGACCGGTCCTGCGCTTCCCGCATCCAGTTTTTGCTTGTAAATAGGTAGTAAATAACTGTTAAAAAAATTCTTCATTAACTCACAACATTTCTAAGTCTAAGTATTTAAACATTATTCATGATTTTACAAGTATTGTTAAGACACCATACCTACCTTTGTATTTCGGAAGCCTCCGTATTTCAAATTCCGCGAGAATTCGTGCGCGAAATGAATTAGAAAGCAAAAAAGTACGTCACCAGCCTTTTAAAGCGTATTCTGCCAATCTTATATCATGATCCCTCAAAATAAGCTCGCCTTCTTCAAGATTCATCTCGTCCAATCTCATTTCATCCTCAAAACTCGGTTCACAGGCTGCCTCGATTAAAGCGTTCACAAGTTTTTACATATTTTCATCCCGTGGAATTACTGGGATCCTAGATGTGACGTCATTTGTAAATGGGATAACATGGGGGGTGGGCCATAACGCTGTCTCGCGTCTGCAGGGCCAATTTGTTTTATTGTCGTTTAGGTCTGTATTCGCTGTAGTGAGGTAGAGCGAGTTTGTCGGTAGATAGGTATTTTGGGATGTCGAAAAAATTCATATATTTTATGCAAGAAGAATCTGCGAAGGGGGTTTTAGATATAGACAGTACAGTGTTTGGACCAGTTTTTTAATAAAAGCCTTTTGATAATCATAGTCATAAATATTTATTGCATCATGTAAGCAAGTACATTTACCTATTTAGTGTCTTTAAACAGTAGGTAGGGTCTAAGTTTTCTTAGGTAACCTGTTTTCCTGATTGTACCTAATTAAGTCGATATCCCGAACTTTTAAAGTATTGATAGGTACTTACATTGATCTATTTCAATAGTAATTAATTAGCTAACTAGAAGCTGTAGTAGAACAGCTGTTCTAACGTTAATCGATTTTGCTGACGCGAGCGACACTATCAAGGCTTAGTTAATGTCGATAGTTAAACTTACCTGATATAAGTACCATCACCCACTCGAGAAGTTGTCGCAAACAATGTTACTCGATAGTCGATATAATAGCACGTCTCTACCATCTCGCTGCGAGGCCACTCGTAAAGCCTAATACCAAACTTCAAATCCTCTTTATATGAAATAAAATCGCCGCGTTCACAATTGCCACAATCTGTACAACATTTACTATCCCTAGAAGATTGCTTTTGTATCTTGTTAAAATTGGATTTTGTTTAATTTTTCATCGCATGGAATTTATGGGTCTGTAAAGTTTTATCTCTTTGACTTATCATTCTCTTCAATATGGTTGATTGAAGCAGCTTTGTGGCGGGTTCACACGTCTTGTCTGAAAACGCTGCTTTTGTGGTAGTCTATTGAGTTCTTAGAAGTAATTAATAATATCAGTAGACATTACATGGGTTTGTAAGATTACAATGTCTGAGTACCTTCTTACATCTTTTGTGGCATTGAATTCTGACGAAAACGATCCACCTTTTACTGATTTTTCCACCGTTTTCCTGTAATGCTTAGGAAAGAAAGAAAAATAGTTTATTTGGTTCAAACATAATACGTTTTACACAATTTTACAATCGGAGATGTTATATCTTCAAGTCATCATACACTTTTACTTTTAAGTATTTGACAATCTACAGGGAGAGCCCCACCTATTCCTTATTCACAGTAAGAGCCTTGAACTCTTAAGAGTCTTTATTTCAGTGAAAACATTACTTACCTCACTATCAAAACATATAACCACGGATATTACTAAAAGGTTCACTATAAAAAGGGCAGTGAAATGGCAGGCACGTCAATAACACTCCGTTTGGTTCATAAAAATGATTTTATCGGGGATTTGTCATCCCGGGGCGGCCTCGGTAAACATAGGAAGGAGGGATAAGCCCTCCTTAAAAGATTGTATTGCTATGAAGATGCCCTTAGGCAGGCTGTTGAGACAATAGCCACGGTGTATGCAGTAGGTCCGTAGGTAACGCTAGAGGGTATTTAATTGCTTTATTTATTTTCCCCGAATATTTCCACACATCTAGTTAAGTGGCGATCAATCTGTTATTGTATTGCGAATCGGTAGAGTAGGTACAAGCTGCGCTTAGTTTAGGACAAAGTTGAAAGAAAATATAAATTGACCCGGCGAGAATCGAATGCTTGTCGTCAAATGAACTTCTACCACTGAGTAAAGCTACGCCTTTGGGCTTAATGGTTACATAGCTATAGAAGCAGATTTTGTTGCGCTCATGGGGTGATAATATTGCAATTTAATAACTGTTAATTGCCATGTACCATGTGTCCTCACTATATTTTATAAATATTGTTAACATGTGTTTCTTATGGCTGCCGCGATACGAGTAAAGCTTAGTGCAGTAGCCGCTAGAAAAAGAGACTATTTGTAAACTTTTTGTTGGCAAATAAAACACTTATTTTACTTACTTTAAGTCCCCTGGCAAGCGAACACCATGGAAATACAACTGTCAATGATAAATTGCAAATCCTTTGGGGTTAGTAGTAGTTCCGCACAATTTTCCTTTGCACGAATGTGCGAAATGTCCCCTTTCAATAATAATTATTTTTTAGTAGGCTTTTCGCCCGGATGTATTAAAAGTATTAAAATCGCGTGCGAATCGACTCTTTTTTGAACTAGTAGTATGCGATTACTAGTTCTCAAAGGGGTCGATTCGCGCCCTTTTGATACATCGGGGCGAAACACCTACTAAAAAAAATATTATTGAAAGGGGACGTTTCGCACATTCGTGCGAAACTACTAGAAGCAAAGATATACAAACAAAAAAACCTCAACTTAAGATAAGTCAATGAAACACTAAAATTTTCCAATTAATCTTTATTTAATAGCACATCATTAGTTTAAATATTGATAAAACTTACTGATATACTAATTTCTTTTAAGTTTCATTTTTATTTGTTTATAATTGTTTCGTGTATAAGAAATTGCATTTCAAAATTGATTTTATTTCGTTATTTTTTAATTTTGTTTGGACTCTATTCTATTGTTCTTTTACATGACGCATCAGGCTATCATGTACCCTTCTGGAAATCCCTTCCAACAACTCTTTCTCCTCATCCGACAATTTTATGCCTTTCTCTTGCAAGAAGTCAACAGAAGACTTAAATGTGTCTTCGACGTGCTCGTGGTTGACATCATTATTGGCTAACGCAATGGGTTTCTTCGCCCCTTCAAAAACATGGTCCTTCAGAGCCCNTGTAGGTCCGTAGGTAACGCTAGTGGGTACCTATTTAATTGCTTTACTTATTTTCCCCGAATATTTTCACACGTCTAATTAAGTGGCGATCAATCTGTTATTGTGACGAATCGGTAGAGTTGGTACAAGCTGCGCTTAGTTTGGGACAAAGTTGAAAGAAAATATAAATTGACCCGGCGAGAATCGAATGCTTGTCGTCAATTAATGAACTTCTACCACTGAGTTAAGCTACGCCATTGGACTTAATGGTTACATTCCTATAGAAGAAGATTTTGTAACAATAAAATAAGCGCTCATGGCGTGATACTTTTGCAAGTCCTCTGGCAAGTGAACACCATGAAAATACAACTGTCGCTGATAAGTCGCAAACCCTTTGAAGCAAAGTTACACAAACAATTAACAAAACAACCTCAACTTTAAAAGATAAATCAATGAAACACCAAAATTTTCCAATTAATCTTTATTTAATAGCACATCATTAGTTTAAAATATTGATAAAACTTATTGATATACTAATTTCTTTTTAGTTTTATTTTTATTTGTTTATAATTGTTTCGTGTTATAAGAAATTGCATTTGAAAATGGATTTTATTTCGTTATATTTTAATTTTGTTTAGACTCTATTATATTATTCTTTAACATGACGCATCAGGCTATCATGTACCCTTCTGGAAATCCCTTCCAACAATTCCTTCTCCTCATCCGACAATTTTATGCCTTTCTCTTGCAAGAAGTCAACAGAAGACTTAAATGTGTCTTCGACGTGCTCGTGGTTGACATCATTATTGGCTAACGCAATGGGTTTCTTAGCCCCTTCAAAAACATGGTCTTTCAGAGCCCGATCAATTTCGTAAACTCGATGTCTGACCACATCAGGCCCTTCGTTTACAATCTTCTGGGCCAATTTAGCTTTCTTAGCAGACTCAACTGCACCATCTACAATCGTTTTGGATGTAGTATGTATACGTTTATGCTCCTCAATAAGTCGCACAATAGCTTTTCTTGCCTCTTCCACCTCTTCGGAAACCGTGGGTTTCCCACCCATTATATATTCCTGTAGCTTCTTTAGGGCTTCTTTCAGTTTCTGATACAAACTGTCCAGGGGTCCTTCGTCGTTATCATTATTTAGGAGGTCTTGTAGAATTTGACCCGCAGCTTCATATCCACTGATTAAAGTATCAATCAATTTGTCCAAAATCCCGCTCTTGGCCTCATAAATTGCTTCCTCTTCTTCTAGTTCTATTTCTCTTGCTAAATCTGGTCTAGGAATACCACATTTTGCATTTTCAACTAAGTATAACAAAACTATTGCACTTAATACTACTTTTAATGTCTTCATTTTGACTAACTGGTATCGGTTACAAAAAACTAACTGNGCAAACTGATATTTGAGTGCTCAATGCGTGTCTGGTATCTTAGAGACGAGGCAGTTAAATTAAGAGTTTATTCCTTTTTCGTCCTTTTATAAGGCAGATATGTTGATTTAATAATGATACATGTGATTGATGTTATCTAATAAGTAGCTACTAATTGTTTTTAGTACACATAATGACCACGTTAATTACTATTTTACGACCAAATGCTGTAGAAATACAACAAATATTGTTTTCAGCGCTTAAATAGTTAGCTCAACACATACAACTATTAGGAATATTTTTATCAAGAACATAATAAATTGTTTATTGATTGACAGGAAAATATGGAATCTTGCGTCAGAAGTTGAACGTGTTTAATTAAGAAATCTCTTTTATCTGGAAACGAACAACTGTGAGAAATTATCTAAAACACTATGCTATTAGGAAAACATTAGCACACTAACAGTTTGTGGACACAACTTTGGAGTAATAAAACAGAATCTAACAATTTCCGAGCCTGAAATAGCGACAGCAATAAAAGCAAAGTTGAATATAAATCAAGAAAAGTTAAAAAATAGTAACAAACAACTCGTTCTTTATTAAAAACTAAGGCTGGGTTGCATCATCTTATTTTAAATTTAACAAACGCGACGTCAAACGTTGGTCAAACTCCATACAAAATACACCGGTTATCGTAATAAGTAGTTACTGTTAAAGTTAGTGCAACGCAGCCTAAGTTTGCAATACGCATGTTATAGATACGCATGCTATAGCTAAATCACGGTAATACTATCATATACTCGTAGTATTACCGTAGCTAAATGTAGGTATCTTATTAGGATTGAAGAATTACCAAAAACCTACTCAACATCTAACCTGCTCAAAATCAGTCTAGTAGTTTTTTCAATACAAACAAACAATCAAATCTTTCATCTTTATAATATTTGTTTAGACAATCTTACTGCATATTTTTCATGTAAACATCAGCCTTCAGTCGCAGCAATCTAAACAATATTTTTTGCAGGACAGGATCGCTACCTAATACATAATAATAAGATAAAAAAACGTTTGAAAACAAAATGGTGGCTGTACTGAGATTGTTCCTTAAAGGAGCTATAGGAAAATTGCAGGGTAATTATAATTTTCATTGTTGTTTCACCTGTTTTTGAGTTTTAGAGATGCTTGGGAAAAAAATTCAGAACTTATTCTATCGTGTGAGTCGTAGAAATTGGGTTGTAATACTTGAATTATCAGGTTGATACAGGCCTGAAAAGTCCTGAAAATTTACTGGAAAAAATCCACAAAGTAATTCCAAAACTGAGTGTGTCCTTGTCTTTGCGAGATCGAATCAGAAATGAAGAAATCCGTTAACGAACTAAAGTCGCTGACATAGCCCGACGGATTAGCAAGCTGAAGTGGCAATGGGCAGGGCACATAGTACGCAGAACTGACGGCCGATGGGGCAGCAAGGTTCTGGAATGGAGGCTGCGTACCTAAAAACGCAGCGTGGGCCGTCCACCTACAAGGTGGACCGACGACATCGTAAAGGTAGCAGGGAAGCGCTGGACGCAGGCCTCTACCAATCGATCAACGTGGAAAGCATTAGGGGAGGCCTATGTTCAGCAGTGGTCCCATGGCTGAAATGATGATGACGATGATGTGTGTCCCATCTGGAAAGCGAACCCAAAACTCCTAGTCTCTTGATTCACTGTAGAAGAGGTATTTACAGTTCAGGATTATTATGTAAAGGAAATGGTGTGAATATTTCGGATGTACGGAACCCTCGACTCGGATTTATAATAGATTGTGTGGCAACAAGCCGGCTAGGGTTGCCAAAGGCATGCTAAGCACTTAGTAATTATTAATGAAAATGTTAATCGGTAGAAGACGTTGATTTAAATGAAAATAAATACAAATGTCTACTCGGTATTGAAGGAATCCTACATTTTATCATTAGAGATCGCGCGATATTGATTTCAATTCGATTATTTGATGTTTTAACCGTTTTATATTTAAGTAGTTTTTAATAACCCCTTCACCGTTCCCTCAATTATAATGCTAAATATGAAAAAAAAAATACACAATACATAAATTATTTCTATCATTTGGTAGCAGTTACAAAGTTCTATAAATTGTGTAAGCTCAAAGTGACTCTATGAAATTCATTCGAGAATCAGAATTGTTTTAGTAGGTACACAGCTAATTAAATCAAAAATATTTTATTCAATTTAGACCACTAGCTAGCGCCACTTATGAAAGGTAGCCCTTATTGGGCACTTTACATTTACATGTCTCCTTTTCTTTTGGGCCCTACCAGCGCTTCGAGACAAACATATGGCAAGTGCTGAGAAGAAACGCCGGAACAAACTCAGAACTTAACTTAGTGTTGATTGTTTAAAACACTATATCACCAGACTATACTTACTCGTTAGTGGCAGCCCTGAAGCCAAGTGTCAGACAGCTCATCGCTTAGTCTGGCCTAGTATTATATTATCTGTGGTCTGGCGAAGCACTGAACCCGGGAACTAAGATGGAGCGCGTCGGCGGGCTCTGCGCACCATGACGCAACTCATGCATTCGATACTTCATCCGAGATTACGTATAGATACCTAAATAGCAAGCCACCTTAAATAACTGTACAATTGAATTTACTACGGACCTTAAAAACCTCGCTCTTAAATACACATTACACAGGCTAATGCCCGTTTTCACCATCATTCTTTAATTTTTAAGTGACCCCTATGAAAACAAAATTCCTCTAATGTTACCATGGGGGTCACTTAAAAATTAGGGATTGATGGTGAAAACGGGCATAAGTGTCTTAAGTTTTCTTTCAGGCTATACTGGCCATAAATGATTAAGAATAATTGTCAGAAGTCGCAAGAAACGTATCGTGGTGATTTACTCGTATCAACTATTATAAATTACTGATTTTTTCTTGTAAAAATTTCTATGTCCACAACATACCATCCACTGAACGCGTCTGTCACAAAATTTAACAAAATCCTAAACCAAAATCACAAGCACAATATCCCATACAACCTCTTGTGTACCCTGAACGTCTCTCAAATAAATTATACCGCAGACCGCGACATATTGGCGAAACACAATTTCTCCGGATTAGCCGGTATCGGGTGCGAAAACAATAAAGAATATTGACACAATAACCAGATCTGAGCCAGTGCGGCGCGTGGCCGGAATACCGGACGCAGTGGGACCGGTTTCCATTGTACTACGACACGACAATTTCCCGTACTATCTTCTTCTAATGTTCCAGTAGGCCTAAGGTGCGCGCCGTGATAACTTTTATCGACGTCAAAATGTATGGGCAAAATCGATAAAATGGCGTGATAACCGCTTATCCTACAGAAGCCGTTTTTTTGTCGCGGAGGAAATGCTTTGTGCACAGTCACCACTGCCGGGGGACAGGGTGGTATGTGGGACGCAAAGAGCTCTGCTCCGTCCTGAAAAATCGGGGTATACCCACTAAAACCTCCGCGGCGATCCGTCATCGCCCGAGTGGAGGTGTCGCGAGTATCCGGCCGGCGAGTAGCCTTATGCCCGTTTTCACCATCAGTCCCTAATTTTTAAGTGACCCCTACGGTAACACATAACAGGAGTTTTGATACCATAGGGGTCACTTAAAAATTAGGGATTGGTGGTGAAAACTGGCAATAGACTTCCGCGACTGATGTTCCAGAAGCTGATGATATAGGGAACCGTTTGGCCAGCATAGGGAGTGTAGGTCAAATCCTAAATAAATTGTAGTCGTGCTTCCTGCCTGCAATGAAAACTAAAAATGACTTGATGATGTTGATAGCTTATCTTACTTAAGTAGCGGTTGTTGGTTTTACAAATTAATGTAGGTAGTCTAATCGTTTTGAGCTATAGCATAGATTTTTATTAATCACTGTATCATGTTTTATAACAAATTCAATTTGTGTTTTCTTTTAAGCATATCACTAATTAAATTACCTAAAGTCAGATACTACTGGAAAAACAGCACTAAGTACTTACCTAGTCCCAGAAAACAAATTGACCTTAGTTCCCACCTCATAATGCTTAGTGTAAGATCCTATTGTTAAAATTGTGCCTAATAACAATGGAACCTCGTAACATAATACGAACACAACACAGGGAATCCCAAACGAGGTCTTAATAACACCTCGTATGATACCCCTTCAATATTCCGGCGATGCGCGCTTACTTATCGGATACCGTTAATGGCGAATCTGAACCTTAAAGCCCGAGGGTAGGCTGAGAGTTAATATAATAAGGGTAAATAACTGAACAGGTTGAAAACGAGTTTGTTGCGTGTATTCGCTATTGGAAAAGTATTTTGAAACATAATATATCTAGAAAAGTAATCGAGAACACATTTATTTGATTGCTTTCGAACCTTTAGGATAATATTATTTTAGTAGAGGAGCCGCAATATTATAACGTAGGTACACTGTAAACTTAGTTTTTGATAAAGAACGATTTTTTGTTAGTATTTTTTCGCAAATCTTTTCAGTTCCTATTTTAATTCTTTATTTTATTACTGACGCTATTTTAGGCCGGAAAATTGTTAGATTCTGTTTTATTACTCAAAAGTTGTGTCCACAAACTGGTAGTGTGGTAATGTTTTCCTAATAGCATTGTGTTTTAGATAATTTCATGACTCACACTTGTACGTATCCATATCCTACAAAAGATTTCTTCTCTTATTAAGATAACTTCTGACGCAGGATTCCATATTTTCCCTAGTCAATCAATAAACAGTTAATTTATAGTTAGCAAAAAATAGTTGTATATGTGTTGGGCTAGCAACGCAAATGCTGAAAACAATAATAAATGTTTATACTTCTACAGCAGTTGGTCGTAAAATAGTAATTAACGTGATCAATCAAGGGTCATATGTGTACAAAGAAACAATTAGTAGCAAGTTGTGAGATAACATCAATCACAATATCTATCATTATAAAATCAAAATCTTTGCCTTATAAAAGGACGAAAAGGAAAAATTCTTAAT